TATATTTGGGAATTTCGGGCATACGGAACTTTTTGGGGATTGGCTTCGGTGCCGCACTCGATGCAAAAAGCTTTTGTATGAATTTTTTTGAATCAAGCCCTTTTATCATTGGCGGAGCTCCCGGGATTTGATCGACCCTGGAATTATACGTCTCCACCCTCTTGTCGTTGGCTTCGACTCGTTTCGTGAGTTCCTCGAGCAATTTAGTAATTCCGGGATTAGTCCCCGATTCCTGCTCGTTAGATTTTACTATGGCAGGCTCTGTTCTGGGGGTGACCTCTCGAAGTGGGTTGGAAACCGGCCTGCTTTGTGCGCGAGTTTGGCTCTGTAGCTGAACTATTGCTAATTGTTGGGCTTGTAATATCTCGAAGATCATGCGTAAGCTGGCCCCGATCTCCTTCGGGTTTTGGGTGTCTTGGGCTACGGATCGAGCACCGCCCTGAATGCTTCTTTCCGGTTCGGAACGCTAGTTTGCTTCCAAAGCAATTTGTGAATTAACATCTAGTGGTATTCCAGCTCGAATCTCAGGTAGTGCCAAGTTGTTGGTTTCATCTTGAAGACCAACTTCGTAATCGGTCGGCGAAGCCATTTGGTCAATGGCTATTCGTAGCCGAACCTGAATTGAAGGTTGTTTTCGAAAATAAGTGATAACTATTATCCTCGGCCCCACGGTGGGCGCCAAACTGTTTACCCGAAAAAAGGGATAGAGTTGAATTTATACGTTGTTCCGAAGATACGTGGTACAACTTAATACAGAATGCTAGGATAAATAAAAGTATGAATATAGATTGGAGAAAACGTAATCTAGGCCAATCAATTATGAACAGTGAAATTTAGGATTTAACAAAAATAGAATCAATCTAAGAAACTAGAAAGATCACTCTTGCTTGTAGAGGGGATAATACAATTTGTGATAGTGTAAGTCCTCCAATAGATCCTTACAAGAATGATAAACAAGTACTTTTATAGTGAAGGGGTTTGGCTCCAAGTATAATAAAATAAACATTCAGTGGGAAACCCATGATAAATCAGCTTTTCCATAATTTCTGCCAAGATTCCCTCTAGTGGGATTACAACGGCTTTTGTCTGCGAACCCGATCTTGCTTAGAACCCTCGATTTTGGTTCGAGCTTGATTTCGGCTCGGACTTGTGAACTTGACTCGAGCTCGATCTCGGTTCGAGTCCTCGAACGGATTCCTGGTCGATGTAGGTTGGTTTTTGGATTATCTGCACGATAGATCTACCCGCGCCATGGTTCGATTCTTGTTCGAGTTTGATTATGATATCGATCTCAACACGGACCGGCCTTCCCAGGCTCTAGATTAGTTCGTGCCCCCCTTCGGGATCTTACTTCGATACATCACCCTTCGAACCGTACCGGGCATGCCAAATCCATTTCGATCGTATACAATAACTTTGTTCATATGCATGTAAAAGTATTATTAACCTTATTGGTTGTCGTAAATATTCAAAACATACTATAAAAGAATCATACATAAAAAATAGGGATAATTTCGGAAAACTTGAATTTTTTTTTTTGTTGCGACAATTTGAAAAACTTGTTTTAATTTTTTGTTTAGTTGCGAAAAGTTTGAAATGGAAAACCTATCTTTCCTTATAATTGGTTGAAAAATAGTTTTTGCAAAAAGAAAATTAAATTTTTTATTTGAAGCTTCTCTTTATAATGTTGAAGCAAACTTCTATTAGATCTATTTGCCTTACCCGTAATTTCTACCGGGGGTCCAAACGGTCAATTTTTGAATTAGCAGTCAAACCAACTTTAAATAATTTAGAACACTTCTTTAGTCCCTTTTCTTCCTCACAAGATTCTAGGGTTTCTCTTTCTCCACCGACGGGACCGTCCCTCTCTTCCTCTCTACACACAGTTCTTCTCTATTTTTTTTTACCGGCGGTTCTTGTTTTCTGATTAATTTCCTTTCTTATACAAAGCTACATTCTTTTATACTCATATGGGTGAAAAAGATTCAGAAGGCACTGAAAGTGCCACAACATCGGAGGATGTTGAAAATTCTGATAAAGGCGAAAAATTGAAGGGTTTAGCGGACAATTCAAGCAAAAAGATATGTGGTTTTGATTCAAGTTTTGATATTTCTGGGAAAATTTTGGATTTTCCATTATTGGAAGGTGTTGAAGAGGGTGGTGGTGGGGAGGTTGAGGGTTTGTACATGTACAAGAATGTATTTAATTTGATTCCTAAGTCAATTGGTGCACTTGGGAAAGTTAAGATACTTAAATTCTTTGGGAATGAGGTTAATTTGTTCCCAATTGGAGAGTTGAGGAACTTAGTTGAATTGGAGAGCTTGCAAGTGAAGGTGTCATTGCCTGGGATGAGTGGATTGGATTTGAATAAGCTGAAGTGTTTGAAAGAATTGGAGCTTTGTAAAGTTCCTTCTAGACCTTCAGCTTTCCCTCTTTTAAGAGATATTACTGGTCTTAAACGTCTTACTAAGCTCTCTGTCTGTCATTTTTCTATCAGGTTAGAGATTTTTTTTTACTATTCTATTAGGATTTTAAGTCATACACACTGACAATGTGAATATTATTAACGCCTATCTATGCAGATTGGCAATTGCCTGTAGTTGTCTTTTAATTGACCTGATAATGTAAAAATCTTAAAACTGTCAATGTATAAACATTATATCCATTCTATGATGTTTTTATGTGAGCACAAAGGCCATATGCTTTTGGTATTAATGTGAGTTGGTTAGGTTGCATCTACACCTTTTCATTATCTTTCAGTCCTTAAAGAAAATTGAATTTACTAGACCAAGGTAATTGCTAAAGCTAGAGTTTTCACGAGTGCTAGACATCTTGCTAGTATAAGCAGGATAAGTGACCACCCAAATTTCCATTAATACAAGGACAGGTAGGTAGGTGGAGGACAGGATATTGGATTGTGTCCGTCTTCTCTGAGGGAAATATAGGGAAAAAAGAAATTGCCGGAGAAGTGGTTTTGCTTTCATTCCGGAAACCAATTTTCCCGAAAGTTGGAACTTGTTTTGTACACTTAGATAACCTAGTTTTTATGCATGATTCATAAAAGAAAATGGATTGATTTCTCAACAAATTTTAGCATGCCGTTATACAGCTGGAGAAATAAGAGAAAATAATGATTTGTTTTTTCTGTGTTGCTGCTGCATAGGTACTTCAACCGATTGAAGTTGTTTAATCAGGAGTAAGAACACTCATAAAATTTTTAAGTTGGTTGGAAGGAGTTTAACACTTTTTAAAGGGTATTAGTTTCTACTCTAGGGCCATATAAGATTGCACGGGATACTAGGATTAGGCATTAGCATAACTAACCCTTGTTGAAGGGTGAGTTTTGTAAATCCTACCATCCACATAAAGAGTTTTATCTATTTATTTGTGTTTTCTTTAATTTTTTATTTTTGGGATTTCTTATCCTATAGTGCATCTTAGATAGGTTAAAATTATCTTATTTATTCTACCTTACATAATCTGACAGCTGAAGAGGTTGGCACAAATCCATTGGGAAAGTATTTTGATCCCTGTAGACACGAGTGTATTTTTGACTAGAAGGTGTATGTGAAAAACCCATATATGAGTACAACACAGAATTTTAAAGTTATAGTGGTTAAAAACAAAAGAACTCATAGGGCTCCAATAGAACAAACAGAGAAGGGAAGTATGTGAAGTGAATTCGTATGCTATGGAGTATGGCAACATAGAGCACACTGCCTATCCATGTACTTCACGCTTCAAAAGTGCAAGTCTGTTGCTGTCACGTCTTTCCATCACAGTAGCATGTACCGTAGATAGTAGCAGTAAAATGAACTTTTGCTGAAGTCCATGTAATTTTGCAGTTGTATGTAATTGCTTAATATTGGTAGCGTTGGAAATTATTCTTCTTTGGATCAGGAGGGAGGATTTGACTTGGAAATAGGTGTTAGGATTTGTATTTTATAGACATTCTTTTAAAAGAAGGATTTGTAATTTATAGTCTTCCTTTATTTAGTGCAGTTATGCCACAGCCTTGAGATAACAAGACATGTCTATGTTGTTCAACATTTGATACATTTTGTTAAATGGGGTCTGATATCTTAAGATTTCTTTTTCATCCAAACAAATGGAATCACATTTAATGTCTAAAAGACTAAATTTTCATTCTGCTGACACTTTTGACAAGCAGGGGCTACTTTTGATTGCTAGAGGTTGAAAGTTGTGAACGATAAACTAGTAAATTCAGTTACATATTTAATACATTCACTCATTTTCATCTTTGTACTCCATGATAATGCAATTGTTCCTTGCTGTTCATGCAGATACCTGCCTCCAGAAATTGGCTGTCTCAGTAATTTGGAGTACCTAGATCTTTCATTCAATAAGATGAGGAATTTACCTGTTGAGATAACTCATCTGAACTCATTACTGTCACTGAAAGTTGCTAATAATAAATTGATTGAAGTACCTCCGGGGCTGTCTTCTCTGCAAAGATTAGAGAATTTGGACTTTTCTAACAATAGATTGACGTCGTTGGAGAATCTTGATCTCCTTTCAATGTATAATCTGCAGAGACTCAATCTTCAGGTATGTGTTACTGAAAATACAGTTTCTTTTCGGACATTTCTTATAGGCTTCTTCTCTAGTTTCTTTTCCCTTTTTGCTGACAAATTTCGTGCATTTCTCTGGAAAAAGGACTGATATGTATTTGTCTCAATTGTCTAGTCAAGTAACTTGGTGTATAATAATTACCTTATTCTGACCCATTTATCTTTGTTGAATTCCCTGAAGCACAATAAGCTTTTTAGGTGTTGTTCTATTCCTACATGGGTATGCTGCAATTTGGAGGGGAATTGCATAGATTTGTCCAGTTCATCGTCTGAAATGGATGTGCTTGAAGATTATGATCAGGAAACCTCTGAGAATTCGCAAAATGGTGAACTCTCATCTCCCTCTCCTTATTTCTGATGCTCTTTCTGCACATTCTGATTCCTTGGTATCTTGTATATTGCCCTTCGAAGAGTTCTTGTTCGGAAGGGACTGACCTTGGAGAAGTCTGATATGTGTAAATTATTTATCTTGTAGGAGCTTCTATCACATCGTCGGGTCATTTATGTGGCTCATCACCCATTCATCGATGTTTTCGGCCTCGAAAATCCAAGAGATGGAAGCGACAGCATTATTTGCAACAGAGAGCTCGTCAAGAACGACTAAATAACAGCAGAAAATGCGTCGCCTGCAAACATTCTGTGCTAGTTGATGAATCTCTGGTGGAAGGCCCGTCAAACATAGTGGATGACGATGCTGATGATAAAGAACTCTTGACTGAAGAGGCTGAGTGCAAAGACTCTGTAGCTAATGTTGTTGATGAAGATAGCAGAAAGGAGGAGCATTATGTTGACAGATGTTCATGTGTTCCTGACTCCATTGGGACAAGCATAGATAGTCATAGTAGCTGTAAAAAATGTGATGCTTCAGTAGGTTCTCTTTCTCATGCTGCTGATGTTGTCGAGGAAAGCTCGTCTCCCGAGGTGTCTAATATTCCTCCAAAATCGAAAAGGCACCTCGATGGGGTCATTGATAATCCAAAACCATGCAAAACCCGCAGACCAACAGATGATTCAGATTTATCCTGCAAATACAGCATGATATCTTTCTGCGGTATTAATGATTATTTACCGGATGGCTTTTATGATGCCGGACGAGATCGGCCATTTATGTCGCTTAGGAGTTATGAGCAGAATTTGCATCTTGATTCGCGGGAAGTCATTTTAGTTGACAGGTAAGCTCCCATATCTGCATGCCATTAACAGTCATGGCGTTTGACTGCTAAGTATAATGAATGCTTTGCCTTTCTAGTCATTTGGATTTCTTATTTAATTTGTTCAGGCAAAGAGATGAAATGCTGGATGCCATTGCTCTACGTGCTCAAGCACTGATCCTTCATTTTAAGCAGATAAATGGTTTGTTCAGAGATAGAGAACATGTTGCTATAGACAACTTGCAAATTGCATCATTGCTTGCACTTTTAGTGTCGGATCATTTTGGTGGAAGCGATAGAAGTACTATTGTTCAGAGGGCAAGGAAAACAGTATCTGGGTCGAACTACAGCAAGCCTTTTGTCTGCACATGCCCTACCGGAAATGATGACACTACCAGCATAGTCACAAAAGACAGTCCTAGCGGCTTAGGAGATATACTTTTCCTTGATCTTTGTGAGAAAGCACTTCGCTCCATAAAATCAAGGCAAAATTCTATTGTTGTTCCTATTGGTAGTTTGCAGTTTGGTATATGTAGGCATAGGGCCTTGCTTATGAAGGTATTCTGTCATCAGATATGTTTCTATTTCTGAATGTAGTTAGCTATTATGAACTGATGAATTTCATTTGTCTTCTCCAGTACCTGTGTGACCGAATAGAACCTCATATATCTTGTGAGCTTGTTAGGGGTTATTTGGATTTTTCGCCACATGCATGGAACGTGATTGTGGTAAAGAGGGGTGAATTATGGGTTCGAATGATAGTGGATGCGTGCCGTCCCCTTGATATCAGAGAAGAGACAGATCCGGAATATTTTTGCAGGTCAATGATTTTCCAATACTTTCTTCATGACTTATTTCCTGGTGCTACACGCATTTACATGACTACATCTGTATTAGGATCTTGCATTGGCGATGTAGACAGTATGGTTATTGGTTATTTTGGAGTGAAAATAGCCATTTTCTTGAGTAGTTTCTGTTACCAAAACTCTAGTTGCCCTAGGTTCTAAAAGTTAATAGCAAGCACATTCTCTCCCTGTATTTCCCCCTGCTGTATTCTGTGGTGAATAATTTACTTTGTATAGAGCAAATTTGTAATTGCTGTGTAATAGTAGGTTGACCCTGGTGATTGTTGACATCATTCCTTTTCTATTCATTCTGCTGTTCTATGGAGTCTACTTTGGCAAAATATCAATCTCGGGTTCCTACAATTTTTAACTCGTCTGATAGAAAATGGATTCTGTGTACAAGAACGGGTCTTGGGCTGTGGTCAGTTGGGAACTATATCTCATCATTTAAGACTTATTCCCCCCAAAAACTCACCATTTAAAAGTTTTTTGGCGATAGTCATTGATATCCAATTTAGCCCTTTGAATTATTTTAGCTACTGATTATATTAGTTTCATTATTCATAATCATTGTTTGGCTTACTGGAAAATTAATTTTAGTTCTGACAACTAACTGCTGCTACAAAAGAATTACGTAATTTGTTTATGAAATTATTGAATATCACTTAATTTTCCTGATCAGAAGTTATTTTGATCACCCAAACAGATCAAAGTTTCATGAACAAATGTTTTCGGTTTTTCTGGCTTTGATGGTCTCATATGCAAATGTATCCTGTGCAGAAACCGTTGGTAAAGGATGATTATGATAGATTGCTGATATATCTCTTAGATCACTGAGCTTGCTGTTTTTTTCAGGTATGTGCCATTGAGCCGGATAAATGTTCCTGTTGTGCCAGATGGTATTCCTGGTCAAGTTAGTTCTTATCCTTCTCTATCCGGTTCTGATGAAATCGATAAAGCTCCTTCCTCAACCCTCGTCCAGTGTAAATTCGGATCGCTTGAGACTGTGGCAAAGGTGTGTTTCCTGACTGCTTTTAAACGTTTCTGTTTATTATTATGAATATGAAACATCCCTAAGTTCTTATTCCGAGTTCCAAGTTCAAACTGTATCATATCTGTCATATGCTGAGTAGTATTTTCCTTTTGTTGTACTTAGTTTATTTCTCCACTTAACTTGGAACTTCTTTTGTCTGAAAGTCAAGTCATTGTTGCTTAAATAAAGCACTATAACTATTCTATTCTTTGAGGGGTGAATTCTAGCATGTAAATGTATTGACCCTCCTGAAAAATAAAGAGCAAACTAGAAAATGATTTTTCTGGCTTCATTGTACTTTCCATTGTCAACTGTAATTTACTAGTGTACCTGGTTTTATGCTTCTGATCTGGTTTGGATTTATATAAGAAGAAGAAAAGCAAGTTTTGTTTTTGAGTTTATTCTGTTGTTTTGCTTGAATCCACTATTTTGCAGGCTTATTCTTTTCATTTTGCATATTTTGCATTTATGTGCTCTGTGATCATAAAACTTGGTTTGTGACACTTGTTATATCAATAGCTGTGGGAATTTAACTCGGGTAACATCTTTTTTGACGAGACATAGTTGAACATTTTTATCCATTCTTTTCTATTAATATATTTTTTTTTTGAGCAGAAAGTATACGAAGGATTCATATAATCGGTCCTGACTAATTTAGGGTTGAGGTTTAGTTGATTGATCAAACATTTTTGCTGCTGCAGGTGCGGACTTTAGAGGTATCCAGGTCCTCCGCGGATGAGATTAAGAATTTTGAGTTTAAATGCATTGGAGAAGTTAGGGTGTTGGGTGTCTTAAACAGTTCATGCATTGTCAAATATTATGGTCATCAAATATCTTCAAGATGGGCTCCTTCATCAGATAGCAGTTCAGAATGCCGTACTTTGCAGTCTGCTATTTTCATGGAGCACATAAAAGGGGGTTCACTAAAGGTATATGTTCTCCTTAAATTCTTTTCACACCTGACTCTCTTTATTCTGCTCATTTTGCTTTCTCGTCTTTAACTTACAGAAATATGTTGATAAGCTATCTAATGCTGGTGAGAAGCGTCTTCCAGTGGAGCTGTCGGTATTTATTGCTCGAGATGTGGCAAGTGCATTGACAGAGCTGCATTCTAGGCATATCATACATCGTGATATAAAAAGTGAAAACATCCTAATAGATGTGGATAAGAAGAGAGCTGACGGTACCCCTACAGTAAAGCTATGTGACTTTGATATGGCAATTCCCCTTCGTTCTTACTTACATACTTGCTGCATTGCCCATGCTGGAATTCCTCCACCAGATGTTTGTGTTGGTACACCGCGTTGGATGGCTCCTGAGGTGTTTCAGGCTATGAATAAGTGCAACATCTATGGTTTGGTAAGTTTCTCGTGCAGTGCTTTTGCACCTCAGATAACAAGAATTTAATACACCTTTCCTGGCATCTCTTGTTTCTTGTTTCATGACTTCTGCATGCTTTCCTTTCTTTTCTCTTTATCTTGATATAAAATTAATTTGCAAATGCAATTGGCACTTTTTTTTTACTCTTTCCCTTCTTTTGTTTGGGCTAATCTTCTTTGTCAAATTCTTGAGATAGATTCTAGTCTTTCCTTTCTCCAAAGCTACCTACTTTGTCTTGGGAATGACACCTTGCAATCACCATCCTTGAATTTAGAATCCTAATCTTTGAATTCTCTAGTACCGACGACCAACTTTCTGCCACTTTGTGCACCGATTTGCTAAAAGATGACTAATTGTTTTTCTTGTTTTACTGATTTCCACCCTTGGTTGAAACCATTCAACACCGCCAAGAACCTATCACCTCTAAAAGGATATGCATTTGTCTGCTAAGAACTGATATATCACTCATTCCTCTATCAAAATTCAGCTCTTTGACCTCCGTCTTCTAAGCATTTAATTTCTGTGCTCAATCTCATGCTTCCTTGAGAAATTAACATATCTTTTTTTAAAGCAAAAGAGGACGTATTCTGTCTGCTCTCTTGTTGCACTGCTAAGATTGAAGAGTAATGATTATGTATTCATCAACACATTCAAATTTCCCCCTGAATTTCTTGGTTTCCTTGACTCATCTAGCCACTTTTTGATACTTCAATTTAATTTGGAGATGGAGGATAGTTTTGTTTGTTTTTTGAGATATTATAGCATCAGAGCATCTCAGAAGATGTATCCTGTGTCAAAAGGGGAGAGAGATTCTGAGGGTTGGATATTTTCTCTTCTCTTGCTCTTGAAATTGTAAAGGTCATCAAGTCTGGGTTAGACGGGTTACTTGGAAAATAAAAAGGTTCTAGCTTTGACTTCTAACTTACCTGTTTTCAGTAGGTATTGTTGGATAGTTATGAGGCCCTAGGATACCCAAAATTTTGGTGCTAGGCCAAAAAATATCAGCAGAGGGCGGGTGGAAAATAATTTTACACGC